ATCTGCCGGATCGGGAGATTCACCTCATGGATGTGCAGCTGAGAAATCTGCAGCAACTGTGGTGCGATCATGACAATACGGACCAGAATCTCTGAGGAATGGTTCCAGGAGCATCTGCCATGAAAAATTAAAGCATTTCTGAAGGCAAAGAGCGTCTGATCCGCTACTAGCAATGTGTTCCTAATAAAGTGGCCAGTGAGTGGTGTATATATAAAATGAAAGTTAAACATTCTCAAATGTAAACCTCAGATCCATCAGTGTAATCTTTTTTTTTTCTTTTTAAGAACTTCCCGCTCTTCTGTAGTTATTGGTGCGATCGCTCGACCTTCACCCTCGGGTCATATCACCTGTGTGTGGCTGAGCCTCGGGTATACCTCTCTGAACGTCTCCTCGCTCTGCTGGTTGTTTGCAGGAAACCAGGTGGCACTTCCTGTTTGCTTTCTTGGCGTTCCCTGCCCTTCTGCAGCTGTGTGTTCTGCCGTTTCTGCCCGAGAGCCCCAGATTCCTACTGATGGAGCGCCGGGATGAGGTGGCAGCAGAAAAAGGTGAAAATCAGCTCATTGAACTCGTTTTTTCTTTATAACTCATCATCACGGTCAGTTTGAGGAGGTTTGGACTCTGCTGATTTGTTCTAGATATTGTGTTTTTTGTGTCCATGATGTGATCAGGTGTGACATCACATCATCATAATATCATCATCACATGATTACCACATCACAGCACAAATCAAAAGCTCCAACACTCTGAGCATGTGTGTGTGTAACAGATCAGTTGATGTCATTGCTGCACTGTATTAGTGATCGTAATCTGAGCTATTGCTTCTTTAAACGATTGCTTCTGTAATCTGTATTTGTTTTAAAACCTTGTGTGTGTGTGTGTATGTGTGTGTGTCGCAGCATTCCAGGCATTCCTGGGCCGCACAGATGTGAGTCGTGAGCTGGAAGAGGTTCACGCTGAGAGTCGTGCTCAGAACACACAGCAGACGGCGTCTGTGCTGGAGCTGTTCCGGAAGCGTTCGCTCCGCTGGCAGCTAATCACTGTGATCGTGGTCATGAGCTGCTATCAGCTCTGCGGACTCAACGCCGTCAGTTCATCACTGCAAACACTGCACATGAACATCATGACAATTTCTGCAAACACTAATCACTGCAATCACTTCAAACACATGAACATCACTGCAAACACTGCGATCACTGCAAACACATAAACATCACTGCAAACACTGTATGGTTCAACATGTGAACATCACTGCAAACACATCAAACACGGCAATCACTGCAAACACATAAACATCACTGCAATCACTGCACAGTTCAGCATGTGAACATCACAGCAAACATTGCAGTCACTGCAAACACGTGAACATCACTGCAAACACGTCAAACACTGCTGCACACAGCAATCTCTGCATATACATGAACATCACTGCAATCATGGGAAAAACTGCAATCACTGCAATCGTATGAACATCACTGCAATCACGGCAAACACTGCGACCCTGGCTAAAGAGCACACACACACACTGATATGACAGATAGAATAAAAAATAAAGCAGTATGATAATGATGAAGATGATGTTATATCAGTTGATATGAAGATGATCTGTGTGTTTGAGGCTGATGATCCTCTTTCTCTGTAGATCTGGTATTACACTAACGGGATCTTCGAGAAGGCCGGGTTCGAGAAGGCTCTGATTCCCTATATCACTCTAAGCACCGGTGGCATCGAGACACTGGCCGCCATCATATCTGTGAGTGAGAGAAAACACTAACACTGAAGAGGACAGATGTGCTTGTGCAGTTAATGAAGTTATCTGAATTATGACTATTTAGTCTTCTGTAAAGACCAGCTTTACCGCTGAAATACAATTACTCTCATATTTGAGGAAGTTTGCATCATTGATCCTGTTATTTCTGTGAAGCTGCTAAGAAACACTCTGTGCGGTATAAAGAGCTGTAGAAATAAATGTGAGTGAAAGTCAGTTTGTGAAACACACTGAAACACATGAATATCACAGCAAACACGTGAACATCACTGCAAACATTGCAGTCACTGCAAACACGTCAAACACTGCTGCACACAGCAATCACTGCAAACACTGCAATCTCTGCAAACACATGAACATCACTGCAATAACTCCACAGTTCAACACGTGAACATCACAGCAACACTGCAGTCACTGCAAACACGTCAAACACTGCTGCACACAGCAATCACTGCAATCTCTGCAAACACATGAATATCACAGCAAACACTGCAATCTCTGCAAACACATGAACATCACTGCAATAACTCCACAGTTCAACACATGAACATCACAGCAACACTGCAGTCACTGCAAACACGTGAACATCACTGCAAACACGTCAAACACTGCTGCACACAGCAATCACTGCAAACACTGCAATCTCTGCAAACACATGAACATCACTGCAATAACTCCACAGTTCAACACGTGAACATCACAGCAACACTGCAGTCACTGCAAACACGTCAAACACTGCTGCACACAGCAATCACTGCAATCTCTGCAAACACGTGAACATCACAGCAAACACGTCAAACACTGCTGCACACTGCAATCACTTCAAACACTGCAATCACAACATCACTGCAAACATGTTAGACACTGCAATCACTGCAAACACACACATCACTGCAATCACTGCAAACACATGAACATCACTGCAATCACTGCTGCACACGTCAATCAATGCAAACACGTGAACATCATTGCAAACACGTCAAACACTGCTGCACACTTCAATCACTACAAACACTGCAATCACTGCATTTGGACAATTTCATGCTCCCAACTTTGTGGCAAAAGTTTGTGGATGTTCCTGTTCCAGCATGACTGTGCTCCAGTGCACAAAGCAGGACAATAAACACATGGATGAGGAGTTTGGTGTGTAGTCCTGACCCTAACCCGACAGAACAGCTTTGGGATGAGTTAGACCGGAGACTCAGAGCTTCTCGTCCAGCATCAGTGCCGGACCTCACTAATGCACTTCTAGGAGAATGGTCAAACATTCCCATAAAGACAGACATCCCAAAACTTCTGTCAATATAGTGTATTTGCTGATGGGCCGGTAGGAGCGACTGTAACCTGTGCGTTGTGTGTGTTTCAGGGTTTAGTGATTGAGAAAATCGGTCGGAGGCCATTATTAATTTTTGGTTTTTCAGCGATGGCCATTTTCTTCAGTCTGCTCACGGTCTTCCTGCATTTTCAGGTAAATAACAATCACATTAAACACACCCTGAACACACATATACTGAACTCAAGCCTGTGTGTGTGTAGGACAGTTTCTCATGGATGCCGTATCTCAGCTTCACCTCCATTCTACTTCTGATTGCTTCCTTCTGTTCCGGTCCAGGTACAGTGTGTGTGTGCTCGTGTGCCTTTGTGTGTGTGTGCTCGTGTGCCTTTGTGTGTGTGTGTGTGCCCATGTGCATTTGATTGTGTGTGTGTGAGTGAGTGTGTGTGGGTGGGTGGATGGGTGAGTGTGCATGTGAATGTGTGTGGGTGGATGGGTAAGTGAATGTGTGTGTGTGTTCAGGTTAGTTTTCATCAGTGTGGTGATGATAGTGCGGTCAGTCAGAGGTCAAAGTTCACAGTCCTGTGTCAGTCTGATCGCTGCAGTTTTGGACACATCCTGAGAATATAAAGCAGATGTTCTGAATAAGGTGTGTGTGGCTCGTCTGTCGACCTTCGGAAGGACGTGATATACACTCATATAGGCTCTTTAATATACAGTAGCAAATTAAGTGAACAGTTATGAATATAAATCGAGAGACCGTGACTGTTTCCAGCAGATGGTTTGCATCTCATTTGCATCACTGTCTCCTGAATGGACGGCAGGACAGAATATTCATGTGACACACACACTTAAATCTCACACACACACACACACACACACACTCTTTCAGTCACACTCTCACTCACTCACACACTCAATCATACACTCACACACACGCGTCATTTGTCCGTTGAGGTGATGTGGCATTTCTTCCATCAGAAAGGAGGGGAGTGTGTGTGTGTGTGTGTGTGTGTGAGAGAGAGAGAGTCAGTACAGGTGCTTCATCCGCACTGACTCATGGCTGTTTATGTAATGATGCAGTGACCTGTGAGAGAGTGTGTGTGTGTGTGTGTGAATGAGTGTGTGAATGAGTGTGTGAGTGAGTGAGAGTGTGAGAGAGTGTGTGTGTGTGTGTGTGTGTGTGTGTGTGTGTGTGCAGATGGCAATGGTAGTTTGTTATTAAGGGACGGATCCAGATGTGCTGGAACTCAAATGTTTCCTGCTTCCCAAAAAACATTCAAGTAAAGTTTAAAAATAGATGTGCCGCTCAATCCATGTTAAATCCTCAGGGCACGAGCTGTGAGGACAGGCGGCGGAGGGAGGGGGTGAGGGATTCTCTTTCATTCTCCTTCCTCCATTACACTGATGCATTGTGTGTGTGTTTCAGTGTTAAAGCAGCAGATCTGTGTCGATGCTCCTCATTTCCTCATTCATTCCCGGCTAACAAAACTGTGCTCTAATTTTCCTGATGATGTTCTCATTAAGTAATGGACAAGGAGTGTCTCTTAGTGACAGAAGCTGTCATAGCACTGAGAGAATGACAGCGACAAGATAATAAAAATAAAATAAGTGATTTTATATATATATATATATATATATATATATATATATATATAAAACACAATATGTAAAATAGACAATAAAAGCAAAGGTGACGTGTAGGCCAAACCCAATCTCTCAAGCACGTCACGCCCACAGATGTTACGGCTGCAGGTCAGTAGTCCTGGAAGATCAGAGCGGGAGTGGGGCATGAGAACCTGCAATAAAGCTCATTCAGGGTAGAGGTCGGACACGGGTCGGATATTAGTGGCCTCGGGTCTCAGGTAAATTAAAATAAATATGCCTTTTCCAAATGGACCCGAGAAGACCCGAATTATTTCAAACTATGTTGAGCATTTAACAAAATTAAAGTGTTTAGAACAACTCTATGACCGTTCCCTGACTTTTTTTAAGTGAGAGAGCGAATCCGCGCTTTTACGTGTAATTGGATACAAGCATAAGCACGGTTGCCTCCGCATTTATTTACTCAGTTGCACGCTCCACATAAACCAACCCCTCCGTTTGCCAAGAAGAACTAGTGCGCCATCATGTGGATGGATGTTTGACCACATGCAAGTATTTGAATTGTTAAGCCAGGCCTGTCAATCAAATTTAAAAATACGCGACACTGTCAGACAAGCATGGAGGTGATAACAGACATTGTGAAAAAGGTGAGGGAGAATTTGATTGAAAATCTGTTATAGGCTACATTTGAAAAACAGCCATTGTAGATTTTACCCTGTGATGGTTCAAGTCATCGTATGGTCAGGTAAATAATGGTTTCTCTGCTCTTCAGAATAGTTCCTCTTTGCCACTCTGATCTCAGTGTGATTGTCAGTGTGTATTTGGCCCATTTAAACAAGACTCTATTGCCTTTAGTGTGTGTGTGTGTGTGTGTGTGTGAGAGTGTGAGAGAGTGTGTGTTCACGTGTTGATGGATGTTTCTGTGTGTCAGGTGGTGTCCCGTTCGTGTTGACGGGGGAGCTGTTTGAGCAGTCGTATCGTCCGGCAGCGTTCATGGTCGCTGGCACCGTCAACTGGCTCTCTAACTTCGCAGTGGGACTCCTGTTCCCCTTCATACAGGTGAGACTCACTCCTGTTACTCTTCATACAGGCGAGACTCACTACTGTTACCCTTCATACAGGCGAGACTCACTCCTGTTACCCTTCATACAGGCGAGACTCACTCCTGTTACCCTTCATTCAGGTGAGACTCACTCCTGTTACTCTTCATACAGGCGAGACTCACTACTGTTACCCTTCATACAGGCGAGACTCACTCCTGTTACCCTTCATACAGGCGAGACTCACTCCTGTTACCCTTCATACAGTCGAGACTCACTCCTGTTACCCTTCATACAGGTGAGACTCACTCCTGTTACCCTTCATACAGGTGAGACTCACTCCTGTTACCCTTCATACAGGCGAGACTCACTCCTGTTACCCTTCATACAGTCGAGACTCACTCCTGTTACCCTTCATACAGGTGAGATTCCCTCCTGTTACCCTTCATACAGGCGAGACTCACTCCTGTTACCCTTCATACAGGTGAGATTCACTCCTGTTACCCTTCATACAGGTGGGACTCACTCCTGTTACCCTTCATAGAGTTGAGACTCACTCCTGTTACCCTTCATACAGGTGAGACTCACTCCTGTTACCCTTCATACAGGTGAGATTCACTCCTGTTACCCTTCATACAGGTGGGACTCACTCCTGTTACCCTTCATAGAGTTGAGACTCACTCCTGTTACCCTTCATACAGGTGAGACTCACTCCTGTTACCCTTCATACAGATGAGACTCACTCCTGTTACCCTTCATTCAGGTGAGACTCACTCCTGTTACCCTTCATTCAGGTGGGACTCACTCCTGTTACCCTTCATAGAGTTGAGACTCACTCCTGTTACCCTTCATACAGGCGAGACTCACTCCTGTTACCCTTCATACAGATGAGACTCACTCCTGTTACCCTTCATTCAGGTGAGACTCACTCCTGTTCCCCTTCATTCAGGTGAGACTCACTCCTGTTACCCTTCATACAGGTGGGACTCACTCCTGTTACCCTTCATAGAGTTGAGACTCACTCCTGTTACCCTTCATAGAGTTGAGACTCACTCCTGTTACCCTTCATACAGGTGGGACTCACTCCTGTTACCCTTCATAGAGTTGAGACTCACTCCTGTTACCCTTCATACAGGTGAGACTCACTCCTGTTACCCTTCATACAGGTGAGACTCACTCCTGTTACCCTTCATACAGGTGGGACTCACTCCTGTTACCCTTCATAGAGTTGAGACTCACTCCTGTTACCCTTCATACAGGCGAGACTCACTCCTGTTACCCTTCATACAGATGAGGCTCACTCCTGTTACCCTTCATACAGATGAGACTCACTCCTGTTACCCTTCATACAGATGAGACTCACTCCTGTTACCCTTCATACAGATGAGACTCACTCCTGTTACCCTTCATTCAGGCGAGACTCACTACTGTTACCCTTCATACAGGCGAGACTCACTCCTGTTACCCTTCATACAGGCGAGACTCACTCCTGTTACCCTTCATACAGTCGAGACTCACTCCTGTTACCCTTCATACAGGTGAGATTCCCTCCTGTTACCCTTCATACAGGCGAGACTCACTCCTGTTACCCTTCATACAGGTGAGATTCACTCCTGTTACCCTTCATACAGGTGGGACTCACTCCTGTTACCCTTCATAGAGTTGAGACTCACTCCTGTTACCCTTCATACAGGTGAGACTCACTCCTGTTACCCTTCATACAGGTGAGATTCACTCCTGTTACCCTTCATACAGGTGGGACTCACTCCTGTTACCCTTCATAGAGTTGAGACTCACTCCTGTTACCCTTCATACAGATGAGACTCACTCCTGTTACCCTTCATACAGGTGAGACTCACTCCTGTTACCCTTCATACAGGTGGGACTCACTCCTGTTACCCTTCATAGAGTTGAGACTCACTCCTGTTACCCTTCATACAGGCGAGACTCACTCCTGTTACCCTTCATACAGATGAGACTCACTCCTGTTACCCTTCATTCAGGTGAGACTCACTCCTGTTCCCCTTCATTCAGGTGAGACTCACTCCTGTTACCCTTCATACAGGTGAGACTCACTCCTGTTACCCTTCATACAGGTGGGACTCACTCCTGTTACCCTTCATAGAGTTGAGACTCACTCCTGTTACCCTTCATACAGGCGAGACTCACTCCTGTTACCCTTCATACAGATGAGACTCACTCCTGTGACCCTTCATACAGGTGAGACTCACTACTGTTACCCTTCATACAGGTGAGATTCCCTCCTGTTACCCTTCATACAGGTGAGACTCACTCCTGTTACCCTTCATACAGGTGAGATTCCCTCCTGTTACCCTTCATACAGGTGAGACTCACTCCTGTTACCCTTCATACAGGTGAGACTCACTCCCCACTACTGAGCAAAATACTACTGATTTAATTCTCAGTAGTAAAACATTTTGTAAAATGAACAGTGAATATTCACATAAATATTTCAAATCTTTCAGGGCAACAATCGTTGATTTTAAGGTCCTTGCACACTGAGTCCGAAATTTTAGTTTTTGTCATTTGGTAGCTCTGAATTGTCAAAACACATCTCAAAATACTTGCTAGGGATGCGAAAATGCAGAAAATCAAACCCCTTACCAAAAATGTATGACGAGCAAAAGTTTCGGAGGCAGTGTTTTGCGTGATTGACATAAGGGGAGGTTTTATTTATTTTTTAACGTGCGACAATTTCAGACGAGATTTCGGATTTGGTGTGCAAGGAACTTTATTCAGTACTTTCATCTTGTTTTCCAGTTCAAATATGCGCGTGTTTGTGCTCCTGTAGGAGGCGCTGCAGACGTTTGCGTTCCTGCTGTTCGTGGTGGTGTGTGCCGCCGGTGCCGTTTACCTGCTTGTCGTTCTGCCAGAGACCAAAAACAAAACCTTCGTGGAGATCAGCCAGAGTTTCTCCAAGATCAACAGAGTCACGGATCAAGGGCATGAGCGAGAGATGCAGGACGTGCTGGAACACACAGACGTCAACGGACTCCAGTGTGGAGGAGACGTGGAGATGGAGAGCTGCTTCTAAAACACCTACACCTCCACATGACGGATGATCAGCTCGTTTATACGAGAGTGTGTGAGATGTGGAGATGGAGAGCTGCTTCTGAAACACATGATGGATGATCAGATCGTTTATGCGAGAGTGTGCGTGTGTGTGTGAAAGAGAGTGTGAGAGAGAGAGTGTGTGTGTCTGTGTGTGCGTGTGTGTTCAAAGCTCTCATCGGCTTCAGCTCAGATAATGATGTTCAGCTGAATTCATCACAAAAACACCAGCCACGTAAAGAGAGATGGAAACAACAAAACTCATGTCTGATTCCTTCATGCATGTGAGATCAGACTTTTAGACATCAAATGGACAGACAAATATTGACCCTTTTAAGCCAGATTATATTCACATGATTAATTTTAATCCAAAACGTATGAGTAAAGATCTGATGGTAATTTAAGAACAATGCATTTCATCTTCTGAGGGGAAAACTCAGACGTGCGTAGAAAATGATGTTCTTCCTTGTTTAATGAAAAACAGATTAAAATGAAGCGAGTTTGTGCTTAAAACAAGAACAAATATCTGCCAGTGGGATCAGGAAAAACAAACTTGTTTTCCCTTTGAATTAAGTGTATTGACTGACAGATATGTTTTCTTGATTTAAGCTTTTTTTCTTTCTTTTTTTCCCAGAAATGGATTTTGCTTCTCCAGTACATGTATTTTGGTTTAAGACTGTTTACATATGTGTGCTGGAAACCAAGACAGAAACACTGAGTAGGAAACACGTTTTGGCTGTGCTGCTCAGTAATTTAATCATCATCGTATAAAAATCTCACACACACACTGAGACACACGCCGTTTCCCTGCAGGAATTGTGTTTCTAATGGGATTTTGAGCTAGTGTTCAGCTGGACTTCATGAGCATGTCCTAATGTGTGTCCTGATTGATTCTGTCTGTCTGTCTGTCTGTCTGTCTGTCTGTCTGTCTACCTGAGTCTTAGAAACAACAGATCTTGAGATGAGACTGATCTGGGAACTCATTCTCCTGCGACATTTACATTTTTGTACTCTCTCCATTGGCATATAATGCAACAAGAATTTGCTAAAATCTATAGAGTTTACTAATAAACTATTCAATCTCTGTGTAAAAATAAAATAATGATTCTGCAATCTTTCTAAAGTTATTTGGCTCCAAATCTTAAAAATCAGTTGTCATGTTGAAATTAAATTTCATTTTCAACATCCTCTACAAAATAGATTTAGTAAATATTCATTTGTGCCATTAAATAGTTTTGCCTTCCATCGCTGTTTCTTTTTCTTCAGATAATATTAGCAAAATCAAAATTATGCTGGGAAGTTTCGAATCAAGAACCGAGAAGACTCTCTGTTAACCCCCTCAGACCTGAATTATGTTTCAAGTTTTTGAAAAATATAAAAGTATATTTTCTCAGCTCATGAGGCTTCTATAAATGAAAACAAATGAAAAAAAAAAAATATATATAATTGCTTTCATTGTGATTTTTTTTTTGTCCATTCCAATGGACATCAGGTCAAAACAGGTGTACTTCCCAAAAATGTACCAACATGAAATAAATTAATAAACATAAAATTTGTTGGTCTCTACTTTAAGCTTTTTCTCAAGGTCAAAAAAAAAATCCAGCAGTATACCATTTCAACTATAATTTTGAGGTTTTTGTTTTACAGATTGCACATTGTTTGTAACAAACTAAATATATTCGAATCAATCAATCTGGTCATATTAGAGTCATTTTCTGTGTGCATCTTTCTTTTTTTAGAACAAAAACTTGAACATTACAACTTTAATCGTAAGATTTTTCCTTTATATTGCACATTTGTTTATTCATAACAAAATAAACCTAGGAATCAATCAATGCATTCATGTTAGAGTCATTTCCTGTGTGCATCGGACAAGTCCCCGGACACGCCCCTTTCCCACAAACCCACTATTTGTCCAATAACCCAATAGAGACCATTTTGCAAGATGTAAACACTGGTACATAAGCACTTCCTGTTTCATTTTTTTAACACTACATAAAAGCTGGATAAAATTCTGATAGAGGGCCATGGGACTTAGACCTGAGTGCAAAAATGGAGGCTCTAGACCCTTCCAGAGCTGAGATATCGAAACTCAAAATTTCAACCCGAAAAAAAACGACAGTGTTACCCCTTACATTTTTTTGGGGGGGCGAAAAATTAAGTTTCACCAATCTTCTCAAAACTCTGGATTCTGATAGAGGGCCATGAGACTTAGTCCTGAGTGCAAAAATGGAGGTTCTAGACCCTTCCAGAGCTGATATATCAAAATTCAAAATTTCGACCCGAAAAAACCCTTTCGTTTTTTTTTCGTTTTTGGGCGAAAAATTAAGTTTCTCCAATCTTCTCAAAACTCTGGATTCTGATAGAGGGCCACGAGACTTTGACCTGAGTGCAAAAATGGAGGCTCTAGACCCTTCCAGAGCTGAGATATCAAAATTCAAAATTTCGACCCGAAAAAAAAAAACGACAGTGTTACCCCTTTCGGTTTTTTTTTCGTTTTTGGGCGAAAAATTAAGTTTCTCCAATCTTCTCAAAACTCTGGATTATGATAGAGGGCCACGAGACTTTGACCTGAGTGCAAAAATGGAGGCTCTAGACCCTTCCAGAGCTGAGATATCAAAATTCAAAATTTCGACCCGAAAAAAAAACGACAGTGTTACCCCTTTCGTTTTTTCCGTTTTTGGGCGAAAAATTAAGTTTCTCCAATCTTCTCAAAACTCTGGATTATGATAGAGGGCCGTGAGACTTTGACCTGAGTGCAAAAATGGAGGCTCTAGACCCTTCCAGAGCTGAGATATCAAAATTCAAAATTTCGACCCGAAAAAAAAAAAGACAGTGTTACCCCTTTCGGTTTTTTTTCGTTTTTGGGCGAAAAATTATGTTTCTCCAATCTTCTCAAAACTCTGGATTATGATAGAGGGCCACGAGACTTTGACCTGAGTGCAAAAATGGAGGCTCTAGACCCTTCCAGAGCTGAGATATCAAAATTCAAAATTTCGACCCGAAAAAAAAAACGACAGTGTTACCCCTTTCGTTTTTTTTCATTTTTGGGCGAAAAATTAAGTTTCTACAATCTTCTCAAAACTCTGGATTATGATAGAGGGCCGTGAGACTTTGACCTGAGTGCAAAAATGGAGGCTCTAGACCCTTCCAGAGCTGAGATATCAAAATTCAAAATTTCGACCCGAAAAAAAAACGACAGTGTTACCCCTTTCGTTTTTTTTTCATTTTTGGGCGAAAAATTAAGTTTCTCCAATCTTCTCAAAACTCTGGATTATGATAGAGGGCCGTGAGACTTTGACCTGAGTGCAAAAATGGAGGCTCTAGACCCTTCCAGAGCTGAGATATCAAAATTCAAAATTTCGACCCGAAAAAAAAACGACAGTGTTACCCCTTTCGTTTTTTTTTCGTTTTTGGGCGAAAAATTAAGTTTCTCCAATCTTCTCAAAACTCTGGATTATGATAGAGGGCCGTGAGACTTTGACCTGAGTGCAAAAATGGAGGCTCTAGACCCTTCCAGAGCTGAGATATCAAAATTCAAAATTTCGACCCGAAAAAAAAAACGACAGTGTTACCCCTTTCGTTTTTTTTCATTTTTGGGCGAAAAATTAAGTTTCTCCAATCTTCTCAAAACTCTGGATTATGATAGAGGGCCGTGAGACTTTGACCTGAGTGCAAAAATGGAGGCTCTAGACCCTTCCAGAGCTGAGATATCAAAATTCAAAATTTCGACCCGAAAAAAAAACGACAGTGTTACCCCTTTCGTTTTTTTTTCATTTTTGGGCGAAAAATTAAGTTTCTCCAATCTTCTCAAAACTCTGGATTCTGATAGAGGGCTGTGAGACTTTGACCTGAGTGCAAAAATGGAGGCTCTAGACCCTTCCAGAGCTGAGATATCAAAATTCAAAATTTCGACCCGAAAAAAAAAACGACAGTGTTACCCCTTTCGTTTTTTTCTGTTTTTGGGCGAAAAATTAAGTTTCTCCAATCTTCTCAAAACTCTGGATTCTGATAGAGGGCTGTGAGACTTTGACCTGAGTGCAAAAATGGAGGCTCTAGACCCTTCCAGAGCTGAGATATCAAAATTCAAAATTTCGACCCGAAAAAAAAACGACAGTGTTACCCCTTTCGTTTTTTTCTGTTTTTGGGCGAAAAATTAAGTTTCTCCAATCTTCTCAAAACTCTGGATTATGATAGAGGGCCACGAGACTTTGACCTGAGTGCAAAAATGGAGGCTCTAGACCCTTCCAGAGCTGAGATATCAAAATTCAAAATTTCGACCCGAAAAAAAAAACGACAGTGTTACCCCTTTCGTTTTTTTTCGTTTTTGGGCGAAAAATTAAGTTTCTCCAATCTTCTCAAAACTCTGGATTATGATAGAGGGCCACGAGACTTTGACCTGAGTGCAAAAATGGAGGCTCTAGACCCTTCCAGAGCTGAGATATCAAAATTCAAAATTTCGACCCGAAAAAAAAACGACAGTGTTACCCCTTTCGTTTTTTTTCGTTTTTGGGCGAAAAATTAAGTTTCTCCAATCTTCTCAAAACTCTGGATTATGATAGAGGGCCATGAGACTTTGACCTGAGTGCAAAAATGGAGGCTCTAGACCCTTCCAGAGCTGAGATATCAAAATTCAAAATTTCGACCCGAAAAAAAAACGACAGTGTTACCCCTTTCGTTTTTTTTCGTTTTTGGGCGAAAAATTAAGTTTCTCCAATCTTCTCAAAACTCTGGATTATGATAGAGGGCTGTGAGACTTTGACCTGAGTGCAAAAATGGAGGCTCTAGACCCTTCCAGAGCTGAGATATCAAAATTCAAAATTTCGACCCGAAAAAAAAAAACGACAGTGTTACCCCTTTCGTTTTTTTTCGTTTTTGGGCGAAAAATTAAGTTTCTCCAATCTTCTCAAAACTCTGGATTATGATAGAGGGCCACGAGACTTTGACCTGAGTGCAAAAATGGAGGCTCTAGACCCTTCCAGAGCTGAGATATGAAAATTCAAAATTTCGACCCGAAAAAAAAACGACAGTGTTACCCCTTTCGTTTTTTTCTGTTTTTGGGCGAAAAATTAAGTTTCTCCAATCTTCTCAAAACTCTGGATTATGATAGAGGGCCACGAGACTTTGACCTGAGTGCAAAAATGGAGGCTCTAGACCCTTCCAGAGCTGAGATATCAAAATTCAAAATTTCGACCCGAAAAAAAAAACGACAGTGTTACCCCTTTCGTTTTTTTTCGTTTTTGGGTGAAAAATAAAGTTTCTCCAATCTTCTCAAAACTCTGGATTGTGATAGAGGGCCACGAGACTTTGACCTGGATGCAAAAATGGAGGCTCTAGACCCTTCCAGAGCTGAGATATCAAAATTCAAAATTTCGACCCGAAAAAAAAACGACAGTGTTACCCCTTTCGTTTTTTTTCGTTTTTGGGCGAAAAATTAAGTTTCTCCAATCTTCTCAAAACTCTGCATTCTGATAGAGGGCCATGAGACTTAGACCTGAGTGCAAAAATGGAGGTTCTAGACCCTTCCAGAGCTGAGATATCAAAATTCAAAATTTCGACCCGAAAAAAAACGACAGTGTTACCCCTTTCGTTTTTTCCGTTTTTGGGCGAAAAATTAAGTTTCTCCAATCTTCTCAAAACTCTGGATTATGATAGAGGGCCGTGAGACTTTGACCTGAGTGCAAAAATGGAGGCTCTAGACCCTTCCAGAGCTGAGATATCAAAATTCAAAATTTCGACCCGAAAAAAAAAAGACAGTGTTACCCCTTTCGTTTTTTTTCGTTTTTGGGCGAAAAATTAAGTTTCTCCAATCTTCTCAAAACTCTGGATTATGATAGAGGGCCACGAGACTTTGACCTTGAGTGCAAAAATGGAGGCTCTAGACCCTTCCAGAGCTGAGATATCAAAATTCAAAATTTCGACCCGAAAAAAAAAACGACAGTGTTACCCCTTTCGTTTTTTTTCGTTTTTGGGCGAAAAATTAAGTTTCTCCAATCTTCTCAAAACTCTGGATTATGATAGAGGGCCGTGAGACTTTGACCTGAGTGCAAAAATGGAGGCTCTAGACCCTTCCAGAGCTGAGATATCAAAATTCTAAATTTCGACCCGAAAAAAAAACGACAGTGTTACCCCTTTCGTTTTTTTTCGTTTTTGGGCGAAAAATTAAGTTTCTCCAATCTTCTCAAAACTCTGGATTCTGATAGAGGGCCATGAGACTTTGACCTGAGTGCAAAAATGGAGGTTCT